GTGTGTTACTGGGGGAGAGGTGGGTGAACAGAGTCGGGGGAGTGTGTGTTAGTGGGGGAGAGGTGGGTGAACAGAGTCGGGGAAGTGTGTGTTACTGGGGGAGGGGTGGGTGAACAGAGTGGGGGGCTAGTGTGTTACTGGGGGTCAGTTGGGTGAACAGAGTCGGGGGAGTGTGTGTTACTGGGGGGGAGGTGGGTGAACAGAGTCGGGGGAGTGTGTGTTACTGGGGGAGAGGTGGGTGAACAGGGCAGGTACGGAGTGAGGCTATCGGTTGTGTTTCCTAACCACCTGGATTAAATGATTGGGGTTGGGTGTGAGTTACCTGCAGTGGGGGTGGCTTTCCCAGTGTGGGATATCAGGTGTGCAGTGAGCTACCCAGTGTGGGTTATTGGGTTTGGCTGTGTGTGAGAGTTATTGGGTGTCACTGACCTGACTGGGATTAGTTGCTGAGTGGAACCTGTAGTCTTTATTGACCTGTGCTGTCAATGGCAGGGCTGCCTGGCTCCCGTGAAGATCATCATCCCAAAGGGATCCATCCTGGATCCATCAGTGGACGCTGCGGTTGTAGGCGGTAACGTGCTGACATCACAGCGAGTCGTCGACGTCATATTCAAAGCATTTGAGGTTTGCGCAGCCTCACAGGTGAGCACGAGCAAGTGTGAGAGCTGGTGGGATAAGATCACCAGCTCTGCATTCTCAGCATTGATGCCAGCTTCTCCCTGTGCAAAGATACCACCAGCTCTGCTGGCACACCCACCACCTGATCTGTGTCCGGTCGATAGAGAGGTGCTGGCGTGATGCCTGGTGAAGGGGTTCCGAAACACAGGGCACACCAGCCAAAGGGGCAACATTCAGACCCAGGCCACCAAACCAGGCCCAGTGCCACTGTCTCTAAACTTTAGACAAATGAGAGGGAACCTCATGGAAACATGTGAAATTCCGATGGAGTAAAATCAGGAAGGATAATCCTGATATCCGGGAAGTCCAGAACCAGGCTCACAGTCTAAGGATACAGGCTAGGGCTGAGACGAGGAAAAATGTCTTCACCCAGAGAGTGGGGAGCCTCTGGAAGTCTGTGGTTGAATCCAAAATATCGAATGTTTTCAAGAAAGACAAAGATATAGTTCTCATGGAGAAAGGGATTAAAGGGTATGGGCGGAAAGTGGGAACAGTGCACCAAGTTGGATTGTGATGTGTTGGTATTATTATTTGATTATTAATCTGCAGACCAGACAATGTTCCAAGGACCTGGGGTCAAATCCCACAATGTCACGATTTGGTTAAGTTCAAATAAAAGTTGGGTATTAAGAGTCTAATTTCATGAAAGTGTTGCTAATTATCAAGAAGACCCCTTTTGGGTGATTCATGTCGTTTAGGTAAGGAAATCTGCCATCCTTACCTGGTCTGGCCTCTTACAATGTGGCTGCCACTTAACTGCTATTTGACTAATTAGGGATGGGCAATAAATACTGTCCTAGCCGGGGACCGGTAATCTATGAGTGAATTAAAAATAAAGTATTGACTGTCCGATACTACAGTGACCGTAAGGGTCAGTACTGAGGGAGCGCCGCACTGTCGGAGGGTCTGTGCTGAGGGAGCGCCGCACTGTCGGAGGGTCAGTGCTGAGGGAGCGCCGCACTGTCGGAGGGTCAGTAATATGGGAGCGCCACACTGTCGGAGGTCAGTGTTGAGGGAGTGGGCACTGTTG